ACACAAATAGCCCTCAAAGTAGATGGTTTTGAATTTTTTTCCTTGTCTCATAGGCACAACTTCAAGTTTAACAAATATTGCCTCTAGCTTCCCCCATAGGTATCACCTTTAACTTTTGACTTTAAAGTTCTGCTTGGAGTAGGAAGGTGTTCGTTGAATTTTTTTCCTTGTCTCATAGGCACAACTTCAAGTTTAACAAATATTGCCTCTAGCTTTCCCCATAGGTATCACCTTTAACTTTTGACTTTAAAGTTCTGCTTGGAGTAGGAAGGTGTTCGTTGTTTGGATGGGTTCAAACTGGAGTGAAGGGAGGAGGAAAAAAAGAGTCCTGTCTTCCTGCCCGTTTAACTACTCCTCGAGACATTTCTGCTGATGGGCCCTTGAATTATAGCAGGAGCAACCTCAATTGCCGTACCCAGGCACCGGTCTCTACAAGCTTCTGGAAGCAACCTCAATTGCCGTACCCAGGCACCGGTCTCTACAAGCTTCTGGAATGTTCAATTTGTACGGCCTCAGGCAAATGAGAGAAAAAAAAAGGGTCATATTTCTGTAATTTTGGGTTCAAACTCGTGAGATGTGCTTAACAGCTAATCCTGCGCTACTCGTTTTGCGTCCTTACCGCTGAAACAAAGCCATAGGTACCTCTTTCTTGTTCAATCTTATGTTTTCTTTATAGTCAAAGATTTCAGCACTAAAAATGGAGTATCTTTTATGGAATCATCAACCTACAAAAACACGAATTGATTGGCTATTGAGGGCAAACCGGTAAATATTACTATGAGTAACTCAATTATAAGGCATGCCAATGTTGTCTGTTGTCACTGATAGATCTTTCTTGGAACGTAAATGGAATATGGATGTTTTATGTACAACTCTGAAGCATTTTTCCTTTTATGGGTCCTTCAGCATCAGATAATTGCATATATATATATAAAGAGAGAATCACAGTACTAACAGCTGCCTTTGCTTATAATAGAAGGCCAATTATATGTCTAGCCAATAACTTTTCCTGATTCCAATTCTATCAGTCTGAACAACGCCCGATCTTACGGAGCTTTCCGTTTTAGAATAAAGGCCACACTTAGATAGTCCTCGGGCCGACAAGCCAGAATTTAACAGCAACTGTCTCCGGCTAGAATCCTGATACATTTTTGTCACTACTACCTACTTGCTTCTAAACTATATTAAGAGAATAAGATACCCTAATATATAATTAAGTAATTTCAGTGTCCACTTCACTTTGAACAAGTGACGAATTCCCAAACAGGAACTAATGGAAGGGACAAACAATTTTTTCCAATGCCAATGCAAAGGTTATGGAGCTGGAGAAGATCAAAACAATCATTAATCAAGAGGATGCGTTTTCAAGTTGAGAAGCCCTCCTTTCAAGCCGACAACCAAAGGAAAGAAATGTTTCAAACTATAAAATAAAACACATGGAATAGAAAGGTGTGTGCAAGTTGGCCTACACAAGACACATAGAAGTAAAAAAGGAAGGGTTGCTAAAATGTATAAATGAATAATTGTATATAGCAAATGGTTAGCTGAAGGAAACAAAAAGAGGGTCTCTTTTAAATACTCTGCTCTGAAGTCCAAACGGTCTACATATTAGCAACAGAGAAATGAAAGAGACAGCTGATCTTATTGATTAAACCACCTTAGGATGAGATTCAGAATACAATTATGATGAGGGATTACAAACGACATTTTTTTTGTCAAAAGGTCTTTTAACCACTCCAGAAAAGAAAATTATGGTCTTTTTAACCACATCCACAACCCCACAAGAAATGCTTGGGCAGACAAGAAAACAATATAAAAGGAAAAATAAAATAAACGTCCACTAGTTTAATTGCTTATGACATTTATAAGGATGACATAACATGTAACCATGCCCACATGCTGCTTTATCACCATTTGTAAATATGACAGAGATGCCTAATTTGTGGCAAAATAGCACCAATAAATTTCAGTTTGGCACTAAGGAAGTTCTTTTAAAGCCCATACTTAAGAAAGTAAGAAACATAGCAAGGCAAAGCCTAGTGTCAGTGATGCGCTAAATTTGCTATCTTTAAAGCAATTTGAAGTAGCAAGCAGGGAGGAAGAAAGTGGTTTATAATTGCTAATGGAACTAAACAATCAACCACCATATCGTTTAAACCTTATTGCTAGATTACGTGGACAGCTTGGAAGATGCACAACTTCTTTACCAACTATTCCAAAAGGTCTTGAAATTACAGAAAGATAGCTACACAATCGACTTGAATGAATGTACATTCTAGGAGATCAAAGGCTTTGGTCAGTTGGAAAGACCGCCATACCCCACACTCCACATGGAAACTGCTCAAGAACTACAAAGCATCTACAAAATTCATATCAGAAGCACCTAGCTTTTCACAAGAAAGCATGAAGCAGATTATGAAGGCTTTAATGAATACTAGAATATCTCTTTTGGCAAGAGAGGTGGCTTAGCAGCTTTTTAGATTATTTTTAAAAAAAAAAATCTTTTATATAGGTAGTAGCTTAAATACTCATTATGTAATTAAGAATCAATTCTCTCTTTTGTAATTACGTTATGTTTTGTGAATAAAACTTTCTAGTTCTTGATTGAAGTATTCAAGGGGTGCCACAGAACTTCAGCTTACTCATTTTATTTGTAATTACCGGTTTACATTTCTTACAAAGGTTCTTATAGATTTCCTCTTCTCTTAAAGTATTCAAACAACAACTATGCATCAGTTCCAAACGAGTTAGTGATCCTCACTAATTATGATTCTCCATTTAAACTCAACTCAAGACAATATTATACAAAATAAAATAAAAAAGTACTAGAAGTTCTCTATATTTTCTATTGGCATATAGACCCCAACAAGGTTAAAAGACATCTAGTAAGCATATGACCAAAAATAAAGGTACAAACATGACGCATTTCCCCCCTTTTTAATAAAGGGGGTGTTCAAGTTAGTTTGCACACACCTCAACCATTCCATTGGATATCTGCTGCCTCCCACCAGCATAGGTACCGAGTAACTCTGCCGAACAAAGCTTAGGCAGGTGAGAGGAAATCATCTAGTCTTGAAGCATTCATATTTCAATTTATTCACTCTTTGTTCAAGTCTATAATCCCTAACACCTCCAAAGTCTTCCAAACCTATTCCACCAACTATGCAAAATTTCCCTCACAACACTCATTTACATGCCATTGTTTTAAAAAAGAATTGAATATGTTTCAGTCACTTTTCAGCAAAAGTTTGTTCATGACTTAGAACAGAATTTGGGTAGTATATGCGGTAGCTGACACAATGTCCAGGATATCTCTTTAGTGGTCCCCCTAATGTCATATCGGGCAATTTCAAGGGAGCATATCATCTTGAATTCAAGTTTTTAGACAAGCAATAGGTATCCGTTCGAAAGATAGAAAGCAAGATCTAACCCTCCTCTTCCATTGATGCCACTTCCTCCTTACCATTTAGCTATTTTCTATCGACTCCCCAGTCCCCACACCCATGTAACCCAAAAACGAAGAAGTATCTTGAACTCAAGTTTTATCACTTCAATCTTCTGAGATATACCAAAGATTTTTGTTACAGGGCATTTAGTAAATGAACATTTAAATGTGGGACCTTGAAGTTTTTGCTCCTCAGATTAAATGTTCTGCTTGTATAAATTACAATTTCCAGCCCAGAGTTTGTCGTTCCTATAACTTCTTCACCTAGTTTCACGCTGAAATAATGAGTCTATAGTACCTCCAAATTAATCTGATTGCTTGTACATTCAAAACCCTAGTTATATAAATCTAGTTGCGACATGTAATATGCTAAGTGATATTGTGATAAGATACACCTAGTAATAAGAAGAGATTCAAATGCAGATTGGTTTACAAAATAAGAAACAGACATCAAAGCTAAAGCATAACAATGCTCATAACCAGGAAAAGGGAAAGTATGTAAGATCAGTGAGACTGTGAAACTAATGGACTGCTCCTAACCAACTCCGACAGTCAATTAAGGTTACACATCACAATAGTTGATCACGTGAATTTCTCATGATACATTGGTCTTAAGAATTTTGCAGGTCATGGTCTGGGCCAGCTGGGTCACATGTTGGCTGAGTAGGAGCACTATATAAGTCATTTGTTGGCTCTCAACCTACTTAATCTGTGACGTTTTGGACACCAGGTTATTTACAAGAGTGCAAAAGAAACACTAAGTCACATTTCTAAAGACCCACTTGTACAAACTCTCTATCTAGACTGTCTCCACCCCTCATTAAGTCTTGACACATTTAGAGACTGTCTCCACCGCCCATTAAGTCTCGACATAAGATTGAGTTCTATCCTCCCAAAGATGAAAGTTAAATATGTATTTGATCTTGCTCAAATAACCACATTTACAGTCCTCCACAAGATAGTGTTTTGGAACCTCTCTGTCCAAATCTAGGATAGATATCCTAGAAAGATAACATACTTGTTGCCTCATAAGGCGTAGGACATATTCTACTTAGCAAGATAACATCCCAAAAGATTACAATCAGTTATGGGAACATTCAGTAGCAGATACTATGGCATGCTGATTCTCTTGACTCTTGACCTTATGCAACAATGGTGTATGAATTTTTTTCTATAATCGAGAAACCCCGAAGGCTAGTGGCACATGATAGAAACTTGATAGATAAGGGCTCACTCATCTACCCTTCTCCACTTAAATACCAGGTTAGGCTTGTCTTCGAACGTGTGACATGCGTCTAACTCACACATCACGTGTTGCACTCTTACCACCAGACCAACGCCTAGGGGCTACAATGGTGTATGAATTTTAATCCAAAGGCTTTCATATACCCAATACTAATCAAGTAAGTCACTTCAGCAATACATTCTCATAAAGACACAAACTTTAAAATCATCAGGCATATTGGGAATATAAGCTCATCCATCCAAAGACAAATACAAGATACATAACTCCAACATGAAATGGAGAATCATTGATTTCAAATAAACCAAGTTGGTCAACTTCAGACAATTTTAACATTAAAATTACCACTTAGTTCGAATTGAAAGCATTCCAGTGGCCAAAACATAACATACAGAATATCAATGAAAACATTGTCAAGTACCAAAAGTTCCACATATTATTATCATTATCTCAAAACACTAAAATTTCATTACTCAAAACCTTACAGAAATTTCCAGTACAACTTTACTTACGGAATATCCCAAGGCTTAGGTTCAGGAATAGCAACAACCATATCTTGAAGCTCAGGCGAAAGCACAACCTGACAACCAAGCCTCGAATGCTTGTTCAAAACCCTAGCCCTAGAATTCCTTTTTAAAACATACTGCTCATCATACGTAGCTGGTGGAAGCTTCTCGAGCCATTCCTGAGCAATGTGAACCTCACATTCAGCGGAACAAGCGTCGATGTCTTCGAGTCGGTGAGAATCCGGGTCAATTAACCCGTGATTCGTTAGGGCTTTGAGTAGTGTTTGACCCGACAGCCCGATTATTTCGCGTTTGTGGCCGTCCGGGTCCACGGCGGAGAGCTTGACGATCCGATCGGCGACTTTGGCGGAGGCGGAGCGGGAGGGGGATGATGACGTGGCGGAAGAGCGAGTGATTGAGGCTCTGAAGGTGGAGGAAAGAGATGGGTTTCGGACGATTTGGGAGGCAAATCTTTGTAGATTAGCGATCGCCATTTCTGAGGGTTGGGAATTGCTAGGATTGTGAGGGCTCTTCAATAGTACCGGCAGAGGTGGCTAATTTTTATTTTGTTTCGTTTTTTTTTCCTTTTGGTTGATAAAGTTGTGTTGCCTATGTTGTATGCCTATTTTATGGGTATATATACGGGCAAAATACATAAAATAACACCTTGCTTGTCCCAAATTCATGTTACACGAAATGAGTCACGCAAACTATACATTTTTTTTTGTATCTAAAGCCTCATTTGGACTCCACATGTCCAGGTTTTTTCACTTTTTCATTTTTTTTTCAATTTTAGTCATCTTCTTCATTTTTATGAATCAAATTTCAGCCAGTTCCTCCATTGATACTCCTAAAGAACACTTCTAATAATATCAACACCTCCTTCTCTAACTCATGAGCCTGAATCTCATCCCAAATCCATTACAGAACATTTTTTTTCTCAGATATTGCCCTTCATCCTCGCTAAAACCCCACCCCGCTTCAATCCTAGATCCGTTACCATTCTTCTGCGCCTATCTCTGGCCTTTGCTTCTTCTTTTTTTGGGTTTTGTTTTTTCCAAGGTAAAATCGTCTTGAGATCTTTTATTTTCACCTATTCTCATCCGAATTATTTCTACAAATTGCGCAAGACCCAAAAATTGATTATTTAAAATTATTGTTGTTTGTTGAAATTGGTGTTTGGGGATTGAATTAGTTGTATATTAGAAGCTCCATTTCAATTGAAATTCATTTAGAGATGAACTAAGTAGTTGGATCGAAATTTGTTTAAGAAGGCCGAAAAAGAGTGCGTTGAATTTTTTAGTTGGGCCTTAAACTTGAAGAAATGTGAGGTTGATGTTGAAAACTTTGGTTGTTGATTTGTATTCATGTTCTCTGACCTTGAAACTGAGATGAAGGTTGTAGTAGCTATGGTAGTTGGTTTTCATCGGGAAGAAGATGGGTTTCTTTTTCTTTTTTGTTTTAACTTAATGACACGTGTCACGATTTAATTGGTGTGTGAGATATACTTGTTTAAAAGAAACGGTCAAACACAAAAGTGGTGTGTAATAGATATATTTGTAAAAGCTTGAGTGTATAAAATAATTCTCGTGGTCTACAAGTGTGTAACGGGGATTTGGGGACAAGTTTAGGTGGCAATCTATGTATTTTGCCTATATCTACTAGTTGAATTGGCCAAGTGACCATCAGGTTTAATTATTGTAAGGCTGACGTTCATGCTTAATTAATGGTTATGTAAGATTATAAAGTGAAAGGGAAAATTTAGTCTTTATCCCTAAAGTTTTAGTTATTACACGTTGGCCTCAACCTCTATAAATGTAATATTACCTGATTTTAAAAAAAAAGAAAAAAAGAAAATCCCATCCCTTCCCGCCTCATCTGCCGCCCCAATCCACATTTTCCACGGTTGATTCCTCCATTGCAGCTTGTTTTTCTTGCATTCAACACACAGAGGTCGTCTCCCTTCTTCCCCATTCCTCTAAAAACTTCATTCTTTTGAGTTATCATTTACTTTGAAGAAATCAAAAAATTGGGGGGTTTTCAGATCGTCGAATTTGGGGAAGAAATTGGTAGTACATTGGATTGATAATTCATTCCAAGTGGTATATTGTGTACCCACTTCATTTGGTAAGTGTTTTCATCTCATCTCCTTCGTCATTGTTAATTTGGATTTCTGCCAAAATATTCTACACAATGCTCGACCACTGGTGTACAATAGACCATTGTTAGAATAGATCATTGGTTCACAATAGACTGATGGGAGATCATATATTAGTATGCGGTCTATATTCTGGTGAATGGGTTGAGGGGCCAACTAGTTGGAATTGGAATTCATATACAAAGGTTACAGTACCTATCTGTATACCTAGCAATTGTACATTTGACGAATTTGTTGATGTCATCATTAAACGTGGAAAACGAACATGTTTCCCGAAGAATTTGAATATTACATATATGCTTAGCTCTGCACCAAAGAGGGACAAGATTCCTCCTTCCTTTATTAAGAATGACAATGATTTGCAATCATACCTCCTTGATGTTACAATTGATAGTATGATGCCTTGCTTGAAGATATTTGTGGTTGAAAATGAGTTTGAAGAAGGGACTGAAGTTCATGTTGAAAGGTCTCATCAAGGTTCAAATGTTGCAGCTGCACCACCACCAACAACAATAACACAACCACTAATTTTAGAAGTAGAGGAGGAACGAATGGTAAAAGATGGCTTCAATGGATTTAGTGATGACTTGCATGATTTTAGTGACAATGAAATGAACTCGTATGGTCCGGAAGAAGTAGATGGAGCGAAAGAGCTCCCAAATATTGTCAGTCGGGCAACTGGAGATAAATTCTTGGTGGACTAGATAGTTACACAACACAACCATCCTGATGGTACATGTTTTTTCCTTGGAAAATATTTTGACAACAAATTGAATCTAATAAAACAGTTGGAGATTGCTTTTGTTAAAATGCATTTTACGTTTCGTATGAGGAAGAGTATTAGTAAATTAACTTCAGTGGCATGACGAGATGTGAGTTGCCCGTGGAAGTTATGCACTTTAAAGTATGAGAGTTCTTATATGTTTTATATTACTAAGTACCATGGCGAGCACACATGCGGGGTACAACATATATCAAGCTGTCATCCTAACGCGTTGTCGAAGACTTTGAGTGCATATTACCAGGAACGGTATGTTAATAGCAAAGGCACATCCCCGTCAAATCTGAAGGATGCCAAGTTTGCAGATTTTAATCAAAATCTTATTTATTGGAGGAGCTGGAAGGTAGGTGAAGTAGCTAAGGCTATGATCAGAGATACTCAGGAAGAGGGGTATGCTTTGTTGGAATCGTATCACCATGTTATGATGTCCTATAATGAAGGAAGTATTGTTGATTTGAAGGTTGATGATAAATTGCATTTTAGATATTTTTTCGTATCTGTTGGAGCTTTCATTAAGGGATTCGCACATATGAGAAAGGTTATTGCTGTTGATAAGACATTTCTGAGTGGCAGATATGGAGGCTGCTTGTTGTCGGTTGTAGCACAAGATACAGAGAATCACATTTTTCCAATTGCGTTCTGTGTAGTCGATAAAGAGTGCGATGATTCTTGGACCTATTTTTTTGAACAGTTGCGGCACATTGTTGACGATAGTGATGAATTATGCATTATCTCTGATCGACATCTATCTATTGGTAATGGCTTCAAAAAAGTTTTTACTGCCTCTCATCATGGTCTTTGCACGCGTCACATTACTGAAAATATGCGCAAGAGGTTTCATTGTGGAATTTTTATTAAGCATTTCTTTTCTGTTGCACAGCCATACAATACTAAGGAATTCTTTGACCATTTTCAGCAATTGTGTGATAAAAGTAGGGAAGTAGCTAACTACCTCGCAAATAAAATTGGGTTTCAAAAGTAGATTAGAGCCTTCTTTCCAGTAAACCGATACGACGTGTTGACAACAAATATTGCATAACCATTTAACGCAATGCTTAAGGATCAAAGAGACTTCCCAATCACTGGCCTATTCATTCATATTATTTGAAAGTTTTCAGAAAAATTCAAGGAGAGGCGTAATGAAATGAAAAATGTTTTGACCCTCTTTGTTCTTTCTCCTGAAAATAAGATTAGGAATAATATGGTTGTCGGCGACGCACTCCGGTGCATCAATTAGAGAATAACCAGTTTAGCGTCGTCGGGCACGACAAGGATGCAGTAGTTAATCTCGATTTGAACACATTTTCTTGTTGTGAGTTTGATTTGAAAAAAAAATACCTTACCCACATGCAATGACAACTCTGAGATTGAGCTTTAGGGATTGGTTCCTCCATTTACGATCACTCCTAACCGTTCTATAAGGTTTCAACATACATGGCTACATATGAAGGAACCATTCACAAAATCCCTATAGAAGAGAAATGGGTAATGCTTGACGAGATTCAATCCACAAAAATACTTTCACCCAATGTCGAGCCTACAAATGGTATAAGGAAGTTTAAGAGATGTCCAAGCATTTTAGAACCTAGTTCTTCTGGCAGCAGGAAAAAAGGCAAAAATAAATATTCCATTTGCAAAGAACTTGGCCACAAGAAAATGACTTGTAAAGTATTGTTGCAGCATTCTTGATCTTTTAGCTACTGGTGCTGTAATAAAGATAATTAACTCTTTTAATATTCTAGACTTGTTGTTTGTAATCACTTGTTGTTTCTACTAGACTTGTTTCTACTATCAACTCCTGCATTGTACATCATAGACTATTGTTTTATGGTCAACCACTAGCATTGTCTATTGCAGACGTATGATCTAGAGGGAGGGAACCCTCCTTTATTTTAAGAAGGAGTCATGTGACCAAGTTGTCTCATAGACTACTATTTTATGGTCAACCACCCATATTGTCTATTGTCAACCACTTGTAATCAACCAATATTCTATTGTCATCCCCCATAGATATTTTCAATTTAATTAAGAGTTATTTTCAATTTAACCAAGACTTGTTGCGCCGGTTTAGATAGTCTATTGGCAACCACTGGTTTAGGTAGTTAATTTAATGTCTAATGTTAATAAGCACTGATAGCCAATATGAAAAAGACTTGTCTAATTAATTGAAATACATCGAATATGCTGATTCAAAGCATCAATTCGTTTCTCAAAACTCTCAACAGTCACGTCATTTACGAGAAGTCATATGGAAAGGCACCATTTAGTGTCAAATTCTGCCGATAAATACACTAGATCTAATGGAAATATTTATTCATCATTCTTCCAAATAGCCCAATCACTTAACAGATAAATGCCTCCGAGGCCAAGGCCAAGCATGGACGCCATTTTCATCAGAGAATAGGCTCATCCGAAAGATCTAAGAAGACACTGTGAGGCAAGAGAGGAACATTTGTCGTATCGCATGCATGTTGCAGATTCTCCTTCGTAGGGCCGGTGCAAATATTCACCACTATGTTAACCCAGAAAATTCCCCTCCACGTGATCCTTCTCCCCCTACAGTTTAATTTTTTTTTTCTTTAGTTATTGGAAAAAAAATGTATGTTGCTATGAGGGGAGTTATTTAATAAAATATTTAACTTAAGTTTTTGTCTATTCAATTTTCTGCCTTATTTTTTTTA